GCATCGGCATTGGAATTTGGAAGTGATCTAATTGTATTTACTAATTTCATCAATTCAGGAAATTTAATTTTCTAGTCCAAATTTCGCGTTAATAAAATTGTTTTCCAGAAACCGTAGAATTTCATCTCGATAAGCGTCTGTCTACCTTTCGTTGTAAATTCCAAAGGCAATACTGACCATTCTGTTTGCAGTCCTTCTTCGTCGAAGCCGCCGAATTTCTTAGCGATTAAGAGAACATTTCTGAAGGAAATGTCTCTATTTGTATCATTTAATATAAAAGTGGGTTCAAAAACATACAACTTGCTAAGAAATTCGCCATCGATTGGCAATCGATGACGAATTTCATTTGCAGTTGTAATATAAAACATTAAACAATTTTTCCTTACGGTTTCTACGATGTCGGACTTGCCTTCTGCATTCAGTTGATGCAGAAAATTAAGACACTCTGTTCCTAAATTTATACTATTAAATGGGAGTTGATTTTCGACTACAGAAAAATTCATCATTCTTACTAAATCCATGTGTTTCAAAAGCTGCGGTTTCAGAAAATTGCGTAATATATCGCATAAAAGTTCTGCCGCAGTCTTTTGAAGCAAATGAATTCTTGTCTCTTGAGTTTGACAGAAAATGCTAAATTTATAAAAAAACTCAAGAGCGTAATTTAGAAAATAAAGATATGCTTTGGCCTCTGGATTTTGCATCGAGATTAACAGACGTTCCCCGGACTCTGATTTCTCGCTTATTGTCAATTCTTGCAAAAAAAGCAATACAGAGTCCCAATTCTCTAAAAGTGTAACTACGGATGTATAATGCGATAACCATCGCGTAGAACACAATTTTAAAATTTTTCTGTCGGTTGTTTGAAAACATTGCTGAAATTCGCGGAATATAGCCGAACGTTTGGGACTACTGTATATGAAAGTTGCTACTTTTCGTAACAACTTCTCGCATATGTCTGCAATGGTATTGCACGCTTCGCGCACTACCATTGCAGACAGATGACACGGACAGCGGACAGTCAAAAATTTGTCCCTGCATTTTGTTGCAAGCTTTGTCATAAAGGACGAGTGTCGCCCTGTCATGACAGCAGCGTTGTCACATGACAACGCGACAATATTTTCGAACGGAATTTCTCTTTCTATCATGGCAATTTCAAATGTTTTAAATAAATTATCTGCGTCACAATTTCTGGCATCGAGATGTAATAATTCTACCAATTCCGTTCGAACATCCAAAGTCTCGGGTGCAACATAACGAACAAGAAACGTCATCCATTTCTCGTTGGTCGAGTCGGATGTTTCGTCAATATAAATAGAAAATTTAGTGTTTTGTAAAACACTAGAAATACGTTTTGTTTCTAAAGGATACAAAACGTTTGATATAATATTTGAACACTTTGTTCGACCGAACGACATATGTTTCAAGACATCAGGATCTTGCCCAATGTCTCTGAAAACTTCAAGAATCGTCTCTGCGGTTCGATACGGAATATTTTTTTCGGCTATTAATTTGGCAAATTTGATTTCCGCGGATTTTATCCTTTCATCCAACGACAGAGGCGATTCTTCGGCTTGCGTCGTAAAATTATTATTCAAATTGTCTGCGTTATCGTTACTCTTTTTATAATTCTCAATGAGACACTGAGAATCTGCATGATTATAAATCGTCGATAATCGACATGAAAATTGTTTGTTGCAAACCGAACAGAACCATGAATAAGGGTCGCCGTCGACTTTATGCAACCATGGCTTGAAATAATCATTCTCAAGCCATTGAGTCATAAAAGTCCTTTTAGAAGTACTATTTTTTTTATGACACCCAGATTCTCCGTGTCTATACACGTTTGAGGAACCGCAAGAATAAGACTTATTGCATAAAGTACAATAAAAACGACTTCTATCATGGGGTACTGCACGTATCCATGATTTAAATCTATGATCATTTATCCATGAAGATAAAAAACCGCGCTTACACTTATTCTTCGATTTCACAACCGTTTCCATGATATAAAAGCAGAAAAGCGAAAGAACAGAAAATTACAGAATACCTACGCGAAAACTTTTTTTCAATTTAAATGTCTCAGAATGACCTACGGCACGTGCCTTTAAATTTCTCCTGATGTTCGTCCTCGTCGACCGAATTCAACTGACTCAAGGGTCATTCCATGCGAAGTCGGACACCTTTCGGAGTACCATGTCGGATTTTGTTCTACTTTGAATATGTTGTAGTCTTTAGTGATATATAAACGTATCTTGAAGGATTTTTAAAAATTTTTTAAATTGTTGGTTTTACATCTGTTTGAAATATAGAACTCACTTTTTTTCAATAAATAATAGCTGCTAATGTAAGGAAGTTATAAAAATGAAATTTTAGGTACTTGTAGCAGACCCATGGGAGTATCAAATAAAAATTATTTCAATTAAAAAAAAAATTTTTTTAACTATTTATTTTGCAATTGTTTACAACAAATGTCATTTTTTATAGCGGGGAAATATTTAAAAATCTGAAAAAAAATGGGCATATAGTCCTGTTTGTCCCCTTCACGGACCAAGTTTTAAAAATACGGACACTTTAAAATTGGCCTTATAAAAATTAATTGAATGGAACGTTGCGTCGCGTCGTGGCATGCTGGCTCGACCGGCCAAGTCGCGCAGTGTATGCAACCGCCAAGCGGCTATACCTGCTATTGTTATAGATAGGGTGTTGGACTGCAGGAAAATGTAACAGTTATTGGACACTCACTCTTTGTCAATGACACTTAGCATTATACACATTTAAGTTGTCAATATTCAATGGGATAGGATGTTCAATGTTCTAGTGGGATAGGATATGATGGGATGTGATGGGATTAGGTTCTGGTTAAGAAATAATGGTTGGATTGTACCAATGATCATCTACCGGATTAAATTGTTTGTTATAAAATTACTTACCTCATAACAGCTACAACTGTTGATATTTCTCTGTCTGAATAAATTCGGGCAGTTAAATGTGTTACTTCTTTGGTTGGAGTAAATGAATGAAAATTACGTGTTCCATAGATTGTTGTAGCCAGTTCACGTCTTTCCAGCAAGAATTCCGAATGTTTCTTATATTCTTCTTTTGAGTTGAATTCAAAATGTACATTTTTAACAGCAACACAGTTTGTAGATGAATTAGAAATCCGATTACCAAAGTTGCAAGTTCACGATTTTATTGCAAGAAGTCAAATCAGCTTTTTTAAATATTCTAAAGAAAATGTAGGACCTGATGAATTTGTTGTCGTCGGCGATTTTGCGGAAAATTATTTCTTCGTTATCCAAGACGAAATCCAAAATTATCATTGGTCCAACAAACAGGCGACAATACACACATTCATTGCATATTATCAGGTGGATATTTGTTTAAACCATGAAAACTTTGTAATTATCTCGGATTGTCTCCAACATGACAGCACTGCAGTCCATTTATACCAGAAGAAATTAGTGGAATTTTTGAAGGAAACACATGGCACAACTATCAAGGAAATCAAATATTTTTCTGACGGAGCATCATCACAGTACAAAAATAAATATAATTTATTAATTCTCAATTTCCATTTTGAAGACTTTGGAATCAACGCCGAATGGCATTACTTTGCAACATCGCATGGCAAAAATGCATGCGATGGTATTGGTGGTTCTTTAAAACGCCTTGCTGCTCGAGCTAGTTTACAAAGACCGTTGGAAGACCAGATAACGACACCACAAAAATTATTTGATTGGGCAACTGCCAATATTAAAAATATACATTTGGTAATCGGATTTCTAATTCATCTACAAACTGTGTTGCTGTTAAAAATGTACATTTTGAATTCAACTCAAAAGAAGAATATAAGGAGCATTCGGAATTCTTGCTGGAAAGACGTGAACTGGCTACAACAATCTGTGGAACACGTAATTTTCATTCATTTACTCCAACCAAAGAAGTAACACATTTAACTGCCCGAATTTATTCAGACAGTGAAATATCAACAGTTGTAGCTGTTATGAGGTAAGTAATTTTATAACAAACAATTTAATCCGGTAGATGATCATTGGTACAATCCAACCATTATTTCTTAACCAGAACCTAATCCCATCACATCCCATCATATCCTATCCCACTAGAACATTGAACATCCTATCCCATTGAATATTGACAACTTAAATGTGTATAATGCTAAGTGTCATTGACAAAGAGTGAGTGTCCAATAACTGTTACATTTTCCTGCAGTCCAACACCCTATCTATAACAATAGCAGGTATAGCCGCTTGGCGGTTGCAGACACTGCGCGACTTGGCCGGTCGAGCCAGCATGCCACGACGCGACGCAGCGTTCCATTCAATTAATTTTTATAAGGCCAATTTTAAAGTGTCCGTATTTTTAAAACTTGGTCCGTGAAGGGGACAAACAGGACTATATGCCCATTTTTTTCAGATTTTTAAATATTTCCCCGCTATAAAAAATGACATTTGTTGTAAACAATTGCAAAATAAATAGTTAAACAAATTTTTTTTTTAATTGAAATAATTTTTATTTGATACTCCCATGGGTCTGCTACAAGTACCTAAAATTTCATTTTTATAACTTCCTTACATTAGCAGCTATTATTTATTGAAAAAAAGTGAGTTCTATATTTCAAACAGATGTAAAACCAACAATTTTAAAAATTTTTAAAAATCCTTCGAGATACGTTTATATATCACTAAAGACTACAACATATTCAAAGTAGAACAAAATCCGACATGGTACTCCGAAAGGTGTCCGACTTCGCATGGAATGACCCCGATACAAAAATAATAAATGATTTGAAAAGCAGATAATAAAGGATCAGCATTTAAATATCTGACATGTTTTATTTCACATATACAACTATTAATACAAACGATGTTTCATTTAGGTTTAAGCTATGACCCGTCCTCTTACTTACGCGATGCAATGTACGAAATAGAGCAGGAAGAGTAGGGTAAAAGAATTCACTGTAGTAATTAATATCAGGAGAAAAACAATTTATACCAGGCTGATTATTATGCGGTTAGTTCATCAAGGATTTGCGAGACGGCTTACGATAATACACATTTTAATTATTTTTCTACTTATCAATAAGCAAGTGACATTTAGAATATACATAGATTACATAAAATAACCAAATCCAAATGTACGTTTTATAGCATCCCAGTAATACCTTTCCCAATTCTGTTTTGTCGGTTCTTCTTCGCTGCAAAAAACGAAAATATTTAATTATTTTTTACATACGTACTACTGTTTATTTATAATTTCCAAGAATGTATTAATGAATAAATATTTATAAAGTGTACAGAGATTAGTGTGAAAATATAATTTTCCGATTTTTAATTTAACTTTTCTTCTAATATCCTTCTTGTACGAAATTTTATACAGGGTGTTCTACACCTATGTATTAAAAATTTAAGCATGAGTTACTCTACTTTCCGACGTATTGACAGCCTTACATTTGTGTGTTAACTCATGGGAATGCAAATACTGGGTTCAAATAATGAAATTCAACCTGTCTTATGAAAATCTAGAAGGGCATATCAGACCTTATCCGACAAGATTTTCACAGAGAGAGGATGAATGTTAGTTCCAGTACGCAATGTTATACACAAAAATTATCCACACGCGACCATATACGTACCACGATTGTCCACAAATAATTTTTTCAGGCATGAAGTACTATGAAATTAAATAAACACGCACTGCGATTGTTTCGTCCGCTAGGTTTAGTTCTACATTTTTCAAGTAAATAAATACAAATCGAACCGTTATTAAATTTTCAAATAGGCTTAAATTTTAAAATATGAAAAGGAATCTGACGATAAACGAAATTTGACATCTATTTGCGTTGACATCGAACACTGTAACGAGATTAATAGCTGATTCTGTTGAGAGATGTAACAGCATACCGTTTGGACTCATTCGTCCAGGTGATTCTATTTTTAACTCTTCCCTTTTCCTTCGTCACACCATTCCCGATGTTGCTGGAGCTCGGAGTTGATGGGACGACTTATAGCCGTTAACTTTATTCTCCGGCCACCACGTCGGTGAATGCAAGAGGCCCGAGTACTGAAGGGTAGCCCCGGGGCCGTGGGCGCCCAGTGACCTGGCGTCACGACAGAGAAATCAAGGGGGAATGAACATGCATGTCCTTCCCTCCGAAATGAACCTTGACAGGCAAGGCGCGATGGAGGACTCTGTGATGTCCCACTAAAGTTCCCGGTCCTCTGCTGCAGCGCCAGAGGACGGTCACCGCAGAGTTTTAACCGGTAGGAGTTTGGCATTATATCGAGGATCATCCCTTTACAGGGGCGGCCTCGAGGTGCCTATGAAGATTTCTCCACGTCAAAAAAGCGAGGAATATGGTAGGGCAAAAATTCGCCAAGTACCAGGTCAGAATTCTGACATCTGCGTGTCAGCAGACAGCATAAATCTCAGAATTTCGAACCAAGAGAGAAGCATTGCCCGAGTGACGTCAAAAAACTGGCGATCGTTGACTGCAAGGGTACATAAAATGTGGCCACAAATCGAATAAACTCTGATTTCACATCAACAAATAATTTGATTCAAGACTGGAATTTATTATAAGAAAAATAATTGAACTAAATTTTATTTTATTATTTAATTCATTTATTTATTTGAAGATAACAAATTAATAGTTTTGTGTTTAGTTAAATCATGTCATGCGCTGCATATTGAACATCTCTGGCGTAAGGATCTTGGGCCCGATTGACATTTGTTTCTCTGAACCATGTATTATACTGTCCGACGCGAAAGCAAATAAATGCGAAGACTTTGTTTATCGTAAGATTACAGTTCCCGCGGGCTGGACACTCGCGGTACGTGTACACAGACACTTGCGAATAACATAATCGCAGTGCGTATATATTTAATTGCATAGTGCTTCGTGCCTGAAATGATTATTTGTAGAGATCGTGGTGCGTGTATGCCCGCGTGTGGATGATTTTTGTGTATAACATTGTGTATTAGAAATGTTATTCAACGTAACGCGTTTGCGTGCTCATAAGTCAGCACAAAAATATGAAGCTCTTAATACGTCGGTAAGTAGAGTTTCCCATGTTAAGCGAGAATCACTAGTACAGAGCTATCGCAATCTATCACGTGTACACAGCTGCTCGTAGATTGCCGTTTTACAGGCGGATCTTTAAATGTTAATAACTTTTTAACGAAGCCTCAATCAACACATTGGTATTCTTGATTTTCGTCTTATTTTGGCCTCTAGAATCTCCCATTAAAATTCTTTTTAGGGGTGGCTGAACATCCTACATATCAACGATAGCTTACAATTAGCGGTTTCAAACTTTTGGGGAAGGACCTTCTCCCCCGTAGAATAAAGAAAATTTTGTGTCTGAGATAAGTGGTAGATTTAAAACGATACAAGAAAAATATACACAGAATAGTTATACACAATTGTGTATTTATAAAAAGAGATGTTTATATTATCAACAATTTTCGCCTCTTCTATGGGGAATTCTTCTTCCAATCAAGTTCAAACTCAGTATCTCATCTCGGGGTGTATAAAAGAGCAAAAATAAAATTACGTTTTCGTCCAACTTTTCCTATTCTATTGTACGAAAACTTTACAAAAAATCGAAGGCATTTCTGCTAAAGAAGTTAATTTTATGAAAGGGTATGCCGAATAAGGGGATTAAAAGTGCCTCCAAACTAAATTGAACGTGTGATGGGATCATTCGACAGCTTATCGAAGGAAAATGCTTTGTGCCAATTTTTGATACAAAATCTCGATGGTGGGGGTAGTAAAAGGGCAATAAAGAAAATCATGTTTTTGCGCCATTTCTCTTGAATTCTCGTTCTTATTGAATACAAAAATGTAAATAAATTCAGAAACATTTCGGATACTAGGACACATATTCTGGAATTTTTTTTAGATTTTTAGATTGAATAACCAGATTATAAATAATAAAAAACAATAAGAGTACTCAATTTTGGTGCGCCATAATGAAAAATATCCCAATGTGGAACCGTTGGAAGTCTTTTGACCATAGATTCGAGTCTCACTTTTGGACTTAACTACTTTTTTTTTCTTTTTTTTTTCAAGTGCTAATCGTATATAATACTATATGTATAACAATGATCTATATTTAGTCTTAGTGTCTTTGCTTTTTTTGTTACGTCCGTTTTGTCTATTATGATTAGTGCTTAATATCTCCTATGCCGAAATTAATGTAAAAAGTTAGTTTTCAAATCTCTTGCCTTTGACAATCGTGGATGAATTGCAGCAGAAAATTGTATATTGGTTTACTATTATTTCTACAAGCAGTTTCCTCACTTTTTTTCTTTCCTTGAAAAATATGGATGTTTGCTACGGCTTCAGTATCTAACGTAGAAATATAACGTTCATTCTATGCCAAATCTATTAACCCATTCTCTGCCAATAATTCTTTTCTCTAATAAATGGATTTTTAAGTATCAGTTTGATTATTCATTGCTTATTTTTGGACATAAATTATTAATTATCCTGCTTGCTGTATGAAAGAGATGAAGGTTGGTGGTCTGAGGGCACAGTGATGTTTTACAGTCTTCATCTTTTTTTTGAAAACAAGAGTCTATAGGCAATCATACTATTAAGAATGACTGAGTTCATCTCATTTCTCTGTAGAGCGTACAAGCACATATCATATTGAAAAGACATGTAGAGAATAGTTCCACTAAATTCTGTTATTAATAAGGAGAACACATTAATAATGGTGTACGAATTATTATGCAACCCACTCACACAATCCTGATTTAACACATACCATAAATCCAAGTTCTGAAGATTCCTAAAAGAGGGTTTAATGGATACGTAGCCAAAGTTGTACAAGTAAAATGTAATTTTATGAAGAAGAAAAAGAAGAAAACACACGTGACTTGCTAAAGAGTGACTAGCAAATTATGATAAGGCTGGATGACGATTTCTCGTCCAAAAAACGTTCCAAAATTATTTTTATACATATTTCAGGTTAAAATATTCTTAAAACACTTTTAGAACATTTATAAGTGAATATAGACAATTGTTATATAGTTAGCATACGAAACAAAAATAATGAATAAAAAAAATATTTAATTTCAGAGAAACTCGAACCTACGATTAAAAAACTTAACGGTTCCACAGTCGAACACTTTACCGCTACGTCAACAAAAACTCTGTTGGAAACATCGTCGATACTTTGAAATATATAACGATCAATGGTTGGCTTTATTTTATTTTTTTTAATTCTTATGTAATTCTGCTTAGTGTAAAAATATTAAACAGTGTATGAAATGTTCATATGTTAAAGAATGCATGGAAATTCATAGTGTAAGTTACTCTAACACGCAGAAAATGACGAAAAAATCGGTTTTTACTTTTTCTTATTATAGCCCACCAAAATGAAAAATCTAAAAAAATTCCAAAATATGTGTCCCAGTATCCTAAATGTCTCTGAATCTTTTTACATTTTTGTATTCAACAGGACAAGGGAAATTATGTAAAAACATGATTTTCTTTATCACCACTTTACTATCCCCACCGTTGAAATTTCGGGTTAAAAATTCGCACAAAGTGTTTTCTTTCGATAAGCTTGTTACGAATCACGGCCGTGCAGCGCGCGTGGTCTGCGAGTGCGAAAGAGAGTATGGAATATGGTATCAATTTGTTAGTTAGGTGCACGGATGAACCTGATGCGAAATCGGGGAGTCGGTAGGATAGTTGACAACGAGGATCAGGGAACCTCTAGGATGGAGTCACATATGGACGAACCTGGTGCAAAACCAGGGAGCCGTAGGAGGGTGTAACGTCGTGAACGAACCCGATCCGAAATCGGGGAGTCACTAGGATTTTTGAGGACGCAGACGAACCCAATGCGAAATCGTGGAGCTGCTAGGAGGTTGGAATAAACGCAGACGAACTCGATGCGTAATCAGGGAGCCGCTAGGATGGTAATAGATTGCGTGGACGAACTCGATGCGAAATCGAGGAGCCACTAGGTTAGAAGAATTCGTATTTGGATTCAGGATATGTTAGTTGACCTCGTAACTTTCAATTATTAAATATAATATAACTCGAGCGGTAAAGTTATATTATTGTGGGAACGTTTAACTAATAATAATCGCTTTATGTAATGATGGGTTAAAGAAGTTGGGTAACTCTGATTTAATAATAAAATTTAATATATTCTCAAAACAACGAGTAATGTACAA